GGCGCTGCCCTGGCGCGTCTCCTCGGCCGGCCGCGGAGGAACTGCGGGTTGTTGCTTTGCAGCGGTTTGGGTGTAGCTTATGCACAGGTTTCTGCTGGCAAAGGGCAGGTGTGCAGGCGGGACTGGGTTTTACAAAAGTTAATAGAACATAACTAGAGTTGCGAGGCTGCCTGTAAGTTGAAGCATTTTAAGCCAATGTATTTGTGACCTTGTTCAAGCACAAACCACAAGCGGATAATGGGAAATTTAGCTTAATCTTTCAAGGGTTCGTGGCAACACAGGAAATGGCCTCAACGGTGTTTACATACAGGGTGTATTAGAGGTGCTCATAGCTGGTGATACCTGGGTGTCTATTAATATTAACTACATCGTTCATATAATGCTTCGTGATTTGTGTGAGTGTGAGCTAAGCTTGTCATCTCAGTTTTTAAAGACACAAATTTTGTTTTCAGATCTATGGCTCATCAATGTTTCACATAGCCTTCACAAAATGTAAAGTTTTATGGAGTATAGGGAAATAAATATCCTCTTTATTTTTCTGTTCATAGGAGGTAATTCATTTGTGCCTTAGGACAGAGAGACAACTCAGCGTTGGACATAAGGAAATGAGGATGATTTCAGGTGTTTATTTTTTATACTTTTTTCTGGAGAAGAAGAGCACCAAAGACAAGAGACATTAACTGCCCAATTAGTGAAGGCATATAAAAGGAGCTGAATTTTCTTCAGGAAGGGCAGATACTCCTTTTACAAAATTTGGGGGATTAACCTATGATAATACATTTGGTAATCTTGTCCATTTCTGAGAACATTCAGAGATTCCTATGAATAACAAGATCCCTTAAAATGGTGAAGTTGTGCACACAGGGCCTTATGTTCCTTTGAAGACCTTGACTTAGCATTGTAAGTCTGTGCATTCATGATAACATCTGGTTTTTTTCAGGGGATGTTGTTTCTAACACAAGCTAATTAGTAGCTCTTCCTAAAATATGTGATGTCTGCCAGTGGGCTGCTAGGAATTATGTATTTGATTATTCTTTGGTGCACTTTGAAAGAGAGCATTGGAGCATTGAAATTTTATTGAATAGTGTAATCTGATTTTTATCTTCTAAAATATTGCTGGAGCAATATTCAAACAGTGTCAGGATGTTACTCAAAGCTGTCTGTGTTTGGTTTTAGGTTGAATATCCTGATGTACAGCCTGCTGTCTTACTGTAGCATGGTGGAGCTCGCACAGTCACGTCTTGCCTGAGATCTTCACAGAAACTATGTCATGAGCAAAACTGTTACTTGATGCCTGTTAATAGAAGAGAAGCAAACCGCTTTGTAACAGCACTTCATAGGGGACTATTTGGGTACTGTAGATAGTCGTTTCACCAGCACATCATGGTAGATGTAACAGAGAAGGAGATGGATAACCCCACATTTAGAAGTGACACTGTACTTTCCGATGTTCACTTATACTGTCCAAACAAAAGACATCTCATGGTACGATTGAATGCAGTTGGACAACCAGGTAATATATGTTTGGCCTGATGGAGCAGTATTTTAAGTGTATCTTTTTAATGTCTGAATCGTCCTTTGAATGGTTGATATTAATCATTACATATTTTGTTCCAGTTAGAAGCAGAATCACTTCCTACTCAGTCTTTAGGAAGAGGGCTAGCTGAATTCTCCTCCTGAAATTAACTACAGAAATGAAAACTATTAATGTAGAATTTGTAGACAGCCTATCTCAAAACCAGACATTTTAAATTAGTTTCTGAGAAGAAGTAACCGAATTAACTTGCTTGCAGGTTTGATTTTACTTATTTGTTCCCTTAGCTATAATCTCAATATAGCACTTTGGGTATCATGTTTGGAAGTTGGGATGTTTCTTGCATAGAAACAAAAGGTGAGAAGCCAGGGGATTTAAATAGTCTACCTTAAGTTTTAAATAAAAATTATCAGTAATTAATATATGAATTTTTATAAAATCTGTATGTGATGATGTACCATCTATTCCGGAGGCGCCTAACAGCTTCATTTGGGGTTTTGGGTTCTTTTGTTTTAAAAAATTTGGCAACAAGAAAGCTCAGAATGGCAATGGTTTTGACAGAGTTGTATAATTTGAAGAGTCAAGGCTGTAGTGGAAATGAATTGGCAAATGCCTCTAATTGCTAGCTTGTAGGTTTCTATAAAGTTGTCAAGAAAATTGACCTTGAAGCTGCGGTAAAATGTTCTGTAGAAAAGTACTGCTCCTGCTGTGACAGAAGTGTTAATTGTTTTTTCAAACCCAGTTGTGACATAAAAAGAGTAACTTCTGCAGCTGTTCTAGCATGTGACAGTGTAAAAATAATAAAAGTAGGCCTGACAAAGAAGTGGGTAATAATTTTGACCCTATCAGGTCAAAAACAGGTAACTAATGCTGTGTTATGTCTTCATGCTGTTTGACATTTGTTTGCTGTGGTTTTTCTTAATGCAAAGAACCTTTCAACAGAACGAAATGACAGCATATGCTACCTACTCTGAATGTACTTGGAATAATTCCTTTATTTATCAAGACAATAATTGGATTGTAGTATGACAGCTTTTACTTTAACAAATATGATGACAGTCTACCACTGTCACTTTGATGGATTTTGGCGAATTTCACGGGGATTTAGTCTCTGCTGCTTTGGGTCAGTTTTACCTTAGACCTTTTGAAATGCTGTAGAACATGCAGAGAATCAGAATGGACTTGGAGAACAAAAGCACTTCTTTCATTGATGGCATCCTCTAAGCTGTTAAATATTCAGATCAGTTTAATCTGGTTGTCATGCAAACAGTAGATGACTTATAAAATTTCTCATGCTAGGGTAGGCAATGAAATTTTTATTAGATCTACATGAAGACGGTCTCTCCAGAGAAGAACTTCTCTCAGGTTACAGTAGACCAACTTTTAATATCTTGCTTTCTAAAGAAACTGGAGTAGAACTCCATAAGTTGTGAAATTGTTGAAAGCAATGGTGGCAAGCACTTTCTCTCTTCCCTTTTGATGTGAATGAATATAATTCTAAGACATTCTTAGAATCCTGCTGGCATTGACCTTTTTCACTAGTTGTATTCTGGGCTATCTTTTTCTCAAGTCTCAACACATTGTGTGTGATTTTGGAATAATAGTACCCAGCATGAGATGTCTACAAACACTGATTTTGTACCAGAGTAGGTGAATCAAATTCCATGATTCTGTGTCCCATGACTGGCCTGTTCAGTCAAGCACAGTGCTTATACACTGCTGTAGAGCCAAGATCAACTGTAGATGGAAGGACAAATGCTCGTTCTTCCTCATGTGTTGTATTCAGACAATACAGATTCCTGTAATTAAAATTGCAAGGTCCACGTTTAGTTAACTTAAAATTTTTAGTAGATGTTGATGTCAATGGATGAATGGTTGCAAAAGGTTTTTAACAAATTTGTTTATTGAGAATAATGGCCTTATTCATTCAATCTCTTCAAAGATTCAGTTTGAAGACTTAAAAAAAAAATAAATGTCAGCATGTTCAGCTTCAGCGAGGTGTCTTCTATGAGCTTATTTCTGCCCTCTCATAGTCATACTAAGCTGATTTCAAGGCTTGAAGTTGCATTCCTAAAGACTTTTAAAACAGTAAAAAAAAAAAAAATCTACTTGCTGTATACTAGAACTTGTTTGTTTCTTATAAGATAGGAATTAAATCTTAACCAAAAGAAACAAATTCTAACTTGTATTAATTCTTCTTTCAACTTGGTTTGAGCTTGTCTCAACAGAAGATTTTTTGGAGGATGTAAGAAACCAGCCCTTCTGCCACCTGTTAAAATAAATGTTACTAAATCAGATGAAAGTGTGCATTGTGACTGCATAGATGCTGAGTCAGCCAGTGCACTGTGGAAGTGCTTCATTTATTTCTACTGACAGAACTTAATAACAGAAATATTCCCTTGTAGCAAATTGAACTATATTTCAAGTTATCTGTATAATTTTTTACTCTCTAGATTTTTAAGATGTGAAATGCACACCAAAATTTCATGTGTGTGGAAGTTGCGCATAGATTCTGTTCATACCTGGTGTTTAACTTTCTCCCCCCTCCGTGTTCTTACCGGATTCTTACAGTGTTCCGGTCGTATTTCAAAATCCTTTGGAACACAGAAGATTTGCCAGCTGAGAAACATGTGAGAGAAGCTACAACAGAAAGAGAACACCACTACAGAAGTGGAGATGAACTGTGTGACCAGGACAGAAATAATCCAAAAAAAGAAAGAGAATTAAATACTGAAGGAGTAGAAGCTCTGCTAGATGATGACGGAGACTTGGAAGTGGTCAGAAGACCTCGAAGTGCCTCTGATTTAGAAGCGGAGGATCTTTTGAGGGATAGAGTGTATCCTGTAATTCTGATGAAAGGGAAAGATGATACGTTTGAAGATGAAGAACAAGAAGGCACTTGCAGTGATGTTAAAATAGGTAAATAGCAGACTTACAGTAAAGAAATGGAATAAATATGTTTGTGTAAAACAAAAGAAAAATAGGTTTTCTTTAGAAATAGAGCAGCAGCTGTTAAGTGAAAGGAGATAATAAAACAAATACAAGACTGTGATATTGTAAATATTTTTTAAAATTTACCATTTTTCTCTAGCAGTGTTTTGGGCAATAGCTTATCATGGGAAACTTCGTGCTCCTTAGTTAGAGTGAAGTTAGAATGAAGAGTGTTTAGTTCTATATTTGAAATGGAAGCATGACTTGTTTTTCAAATTTGCCACTATGGAACTTGATTTGAACAACAGCTTGAGGTAGTTATTTCTGCTCTACTTTCATTTTCACAGAACATACTATGGCCACCCCCTTAGAAGATGTCGGTAAACAAGTATGTATTCTGCCTTGTAGTATCTTGCTGTTCCTGGGTTGTGCTTCAGAATTTACTTAGTTTTAACTGCTTCTCTTATCCACAGGTCTGGCGTGCAGCATTTCTTCTTGCTGATTACATTCTGTCTAAACAGGACATGTTCAGGTGTTGCTCGGTGCTAGAGCTTGGAGGTGGCACTGGAATTACAAGTATTATCATGGGAACAGTTGCCAAGAGAGTTTATTGCACAGGTAAGGCAATTATTTTCGGTGAAATATTTTCGTGAGACTTCACAAAGCAGTGCTTTCATTCTGACGTTTTCATCCTCATCTGTTCAGTTTTAGTTAATAGTTTTTTATGAACATATAGAAAATTGTTGTTCATTGAAAAATAACAAGAACTTTCTCAACAGATTGAAAAAGCAGTACTACTTTTAAGTGCAAGGGTTTAAAAGCAAGATACATTGCTGTGAAGTCAAGATAGCATGCCGAGTTTAAAATAGGTAGTATAGGGATCTAACTTCTTGCTTCAAGGATGTCTCAGAGTTTACTACTGAAAGACAAAAGCAAGAAGGATACTAGGGAAGCAGTCATCAGTGGATAAAGTTGCTCTGAATTTTTCTTAATCTTGTCAGTTTGAGGGAAACTTAGATTATTAGTCTTGAAAGGTCAGGGGCATGCATGGCCCATGCAAAATATTCTTATTTTGAATATCATTATCACTTTTTTCCAGATGTTGGTGATGATCTTCTGACCATGTGTGAGCAAAATGTTGCATTAAACAAACACCTGTTGGAGCCGGGAAGTAAGTGCTATGCAGTCAGTGTTTGTGCAATTGCCTACATATGAACTACTTTGTGATTAAACAGCACAGACATTGACTATCATTGACTAGCATATTCCAAGTAAAATTCAATTTTTGTCTTGGTTAGAAGTGACTCATTTAAAAAGAAAGATGCAAGATACCTGCATGTGGTCCATGGGACGGTTTCATTTTGAGAAGAGCAAAATACTTTCTCTGTCATTGTTTAAGACCAGCTGTAGCTCCTACACAGTCATTGTGTGAGTTCCACTGAGGTACTTGGGAGGATAACAGATATCCAGGTGCCAGGGGTCACATAATCAGAGTATAAATGACAGAGGTAGAACTCAGGAAAGGAGAAGTATTCTGCAGGTGAGACGTGTAAGGGAGAAGGTGGGTTGTCTTTCTGACCCTTAAGTTCATCCTGTTCTTTTGTGAGTGGGTAACTGGTTTTGTAGAGTAAATGATTTGATGTTCAGCTTTGCTTGTTTCATATGTCATCGTAATTGATCTTCATCGCTTGTTTCAGTACAGATTTTGACTCTCTGCTTTTGCTTAGGTACTGTCTAAAAGGCCATTTGTGACTGATGTGATCTTTCTTCACCGACAGGAGGGGAAGTTAAAGTAAAAGAACTGGACTGGCTGAAAGATGAATTCTGCACTGGTAGGTGGTTATAATGGGTCCTTTCAGATAGGGTGTGGTGGTTTGGTTTGTATTTTTTTTCCTTCAGAGCCATCAAGAAAAGCTTACTCCATTGTTTATGAAGTAAGTCCTCAAGCACATATGCCTCTGGAAAAATAGTTGAAATTACACTGTTGTCTTTGGTTGTATCATTGCCGTGTGAATGAGTGAGGAGGGGTTTACTGATATGTTGGGAATAGACTGTGGTGGCTGTCCTTTACTTAAGTCAAAATCCAGAGGTGCAAACAAGATGTGTCTGTTATGTGGCGATAGTGGAATCCAGGCAGAATGACATGGATTTGAGTTACAAATACAAAACTATAAAAGGTGGTGGGAGGGTAGGTGGTGATGTGAAGATGTTCCAAATGTAGTGGTGAATGTGTTATATTTTAATGGGAATGTCTACTGCTGCTTTTAGCAAATAAAAAGCAACTAACAAATAACATTTAAAGTGCAATTAATGATAGTAAATTACATCACTAAAACTTTCCTTCTAGTGATTGCTAGGTCAACACAAAATTGTAGCAGTAGGTTATATGAAGCCTACTTTATAGATTTTTAGATCATCAGTTGGATTTGCTGGAATGCTTCAAAAAAAATAGAAAAACTATTTAAGCAAGTGGAAACATCCTTTACACATTCAAGAGCCTCTCGTGGACCTCAAAAAATTCTGGTTAATGAAAATCTTTGATACTGCCAGTTGCAAAGGCTTTATGTTTTTTAGACTTTCAGGGAGAGTTTCTATATTTTAACAAAGTCTAAATTTTAAAAAGCATGATGAAGTAGGAAGCTTAATCAAAACTTATACAAAGGTGCATTTGTGTTTTTTACTTAAAGGAGTACTAGTTAAATCTGTGATCTTGCTACAGGGTAGTAATTTGTTGTAAATTCTAAAGTCAAAGAAAACTTACTCTTGCCAGTCAGCCTTGGGAGGGTTGGACATAATGCAGAGACAGCAAAGGACTGCAGGGGACTTCATAGAATGAATAGATGGAGGTTTTGATTTACCTTCAGTGGGGTGCTCCATTTATGGAGTAGCAGATGACCACAGGAGTGAAGAAGTTTCTTTTTTCCAGCTGTCAAGCATTTGAGACATTTAATCATGCACACCAAAGCATTCTTTGTTACAGATCCTGAAGCTCCTTATAGCTGGTCTGAAGAAGAGATTGCTGATTTGCATGACCACTGTACTGTGATAATGGCAGCTGATGGTAGGAAAATATAAACAGTAAGCTTTAAAATCAAATACATAAGCATTTTGAGTAATAATTTAAACATATCTAATTTGCTTTTAAAATCGAATATGTCAGATCCCTACCTAATTTGTTAAAGCTCTGCCTTAAGTGTTCCAGCCTGTATTTTTTTTAAAACAACTGTATTCATACTCTGAATTAGCAATAAGAGAACAGATGTTGAAAACTACTAGCTTTTTCTTTCCGTTGGTGTGGTAATTATTTGTGACTAAACATATTACTCAAAGAACATAATCACAAGTGATGAATTTGACTTTCAGAAGAGTTTGGTTATCTGGTGCAAGACAAAGGTAAGACAAGAAAAACAGTTCCATAACTGCACTTGCCCATAGAATTTGTGCCTTTGGATATCTCTGTCTTGTTTTTCTGCTCTTTTTCTTGCTTAAGTGAAAGACTGAAAAATAACAGACTAGCTTATCTGTATATGAAAACCATTGTTGTTTTGATGTATAGATAAAGGAGGATTGGTTTTAGTTATGATAGTGAAAGGCATTGCAAGACTGCTTTCCAAGGAGGTATAGTTATAGTGGTAGATTAGTTACTGCCTTTTTTGGTTTTTTGTAAGAAATGAGGCTCTATACATTGTGATATCCTGTCTTTTTTAGCTTTGCAATAAGGTATTTCCAGGCTAAGAGAAATCTTGTTAAAGTTTTATAAGTCGTCTGACAGAAGTGATTCCCATTGATACAAGAGAAATCTTAAAGCAAGCCCGACATCAATAGCAGCAGTGGATACTATTACAGGGTCAGTTGTCACTAAAAATATACTTTGGAATTTAGTTTAAAAAGTGACTTGTTAGATTAGAATAATCAACCTAAGGCCTGTTGGTTTTTTGTACCTGAGACTTAAGTAAATAATACACTTAAACATACATATTTTGTGCTCTTAATCTTGTCTTTGTAGTGTTCTATGATGATGACCTGACAGATGCCTTGTTCAGAACGCTGTATAGAATCACATACAACTTGAGAAATTCTTGCACAGTTTACCTAGCATTAGAAAAGAGGTAAGTATTACTATGAACTTAAAATAAAAAAGCACTAAAAACTGTATGTGCTTGCTTTATTTGGAAGAAAGACCTGATTTGATTGAAGGTCGGCTTCTGATTTTCATTGTATCGCTTGATCATAGGCTGCGGTATATGCTCAGGACAAGCATTTGTGTTTATACGTGCTTCATTTTTATCAGTTCAGAATTTAACTTCCTTAAGAGTTCAGCTTTTGTTGTCCTACCTTTCTCTCACATCAGGTAACCTCTGTGCAAATAAGTGTAAATAGGTGGCTAGACTGATGTATTCTGTAATGCCTGACAACATTTGCTATATATTTTTTTGAGGTCATAGAGTGGAACAAAGGGGCTTAGAATGAGGGTATATGTTTCTCAGCTTGAGTACCTCTAACAATTTCTCTTGTGTTTTCTTTTAAGGAATTGTTGAATGTTTTTGAGTAGTCACATGTTGCAGTCCATTCATAAACTAATATATAAATAGGCTTTGCTTAAATCTTTCGAGATACCTAAGCAATAGCTATTCATATGATTTGTTGCCAAGTGTTTGTCCAGGAAACCAAGCCAATGATTCTCTTGTGGCAGAGTGCCTTAAAATGAATGGAAAGATTCATCCAAGAGTTACTGGTGTGTTGATGCTAATATAACCTTGTCTGCTTTTCAGGAATAGTGGAGGGGTTACTTTTTTTTGGCTATCGAAGTTAGTTAATTACACTGAGAAGACACACGTTTTCCATTAGCTGGGGAAAGTTACATAGCTATTTAAGATGTAGAGGAGAGACATTTTAAATTAAATATTCTCTTGCCAGGCTGAACTTCACTTTAAGACATATGGATGTTACATGTGAAGCCTACAGTCATTTTAGAAATACTCTAAATGATTTGGAGAGCCTCCAGGATAGAAAAATGAAATATACTGTGGAGCCCATTAAGCTTGATTTCTGCCAGTTTCTTGTTTATGAACGAGTCGAGCAGTTGGTAAGTGGCATTCGTTAAAATAAATGTAATATGTTGGGCTAATAATCTCAAATGAGTTTTCAGCTGTTTACTTAACATGAAATAAGAACAGGAGAATAAACATTATCTTTCCATTTATTTCCATGTAGCTTCTTGTTGTTTTTTTTTCTTTTTTTTAAAGATTCTTGTTTGTGCTTACATAATCTCTACTAGATTGACATAACATACCATTTTCTATCACCAGCAGTACAGCGGCTTAGGTTACACTAATTTCTTCAAAGGTTATATCCATTACTTTGTAAAATACAATTTTTGTGCTTTTCATCTACTTGCTTGTAAAAGAGCTTTCATTTCATAGTTTTAGTAATTCCTTTCCCAGTTCAGGGTTCAGGAAATAATGTTCTAATATCTGTGAGGAAGTTGATTAGCTGTAAACTTCTGATATTCAGAAACATGTTACGTACAATTTTTGTAGTTATATAATTACCTCCCAAGCACTTATGGTTCTCTCTCTATATGTTATTTTTCCAATTGTCTGCACTTAGGAATATTATGCAGGGTAGCTAATAGCTTGCTGGCTTCTAGAACAATACAATTTAACATCTTTTTAGAGAACTTGCAAGTATTGTACTGGATTGCAAATCTTTTACTAAGAAAATATGTTCTGTAGTCAATATACGCATATGCTGTGTCTTCTGCAGTATGTATGTGTAGTAAGGCTACGGGTGCCACAGTTACTTCATGAGATTGATTTATTTTACTTAATGCTGATACCTTCATGCATAAAACGTGCATGCAAAACTTGAAAACAAGTTTTACAAGTATTTAAGTGTAGCCTGGATTATACCTACATGTGTAAACTCATTCCCTAGCCCTTTTGTGGAAGGCTACTGGTCCCTGAAATATATGCATTTTTAAAATGCCTAAATTTTTTATCATTGAGTATATTGCTGCAATTCAGGATGTCGTGGTGAAGAGTATGTGATAATCCACTTACTAATCTTTTGTGTAGCAGACAATGTGTATACTGACTTATTCTACAGAAATAAAGTGGTCTGGTTTTCATCTTCGTTGTCCAATGGATAGAGAATCACCTGTGGGTTTGTATAAGACATGCATTTTTGAGAGCTTGATTCCCCAGTAAATTGAGTATTTTTTCAGTGGTGTTTTTACTAGTATACTTGACAGCATTTGTCATCACAGGCTAAGAAAAAGAGGAAGATTATCAGACAAAATACTGCAGGTTATGTAGACCAATGAAATTATTTTAAAACAAATTGTTTGAATGATACTAATTTTTTATTTAAAAGGTCAGACTATAAGAATGAAGAAATCGATTCTATTTCTCTGTGTCAAAGTTAATTTGGTGGTTGTTCTAGGAGATTACATAGATGGATTTATCTGTAGATGGAAGTGTATACGGTGTGTCTTAAAATTTGTCTTCCAGTGGGCATGTTGAATTCTTTCATAATTGCAACCTACTGATCTGAGAAAATACCTGTATGTATCTTTTCCACTCCTACAGGAATTGTGGAAGATCATTGCTGAACATCTCACATGACGGGGAGATGAGAAAATAGAAGATCTTTATCTAAGGATACAGGCTTTTTTGATGTTTTATTAAAAATGGATTTTCATCCCAAGAAAAGCATTTTCCTGGTGGAACTGTGTTCTCAGAAAATATTGCTATGCAGATTTGCTTTTCCTTCAGTAAGTTTTTGTTTTGGCACTTAGGACATGGTTTCTTTGATGTTTCTTTTACAAAACTGTTTAATGTTGATCTTCAGAGTATGTACGGGATGCCAAACGGTGGCAGTGATGCAGTGACTTGCTCTTTAGGATGACTTAGGTTTTAGAGTCTGACAAAGAAGTATTGTAACCTTTTTGGTGTGGCTGATTTGCACATGTCATGCATTTTCCTTTTGAGTTTTCTGAACATGGGCACTGTTCTTGGTTTCATCCTAGTTCCACGTTATTTATATTTATGGACATTTATGAAACAGTGTTCTGGGCAAGACTTGTTTGTCTTTCATGGACTTTTCTTTAAGCGATCTTTTTATGAAACTTAGTCCTTAATTTTCAGTTTGTGCTATCTAAATCCTTCTAGTTTAGGGCTACTGTCTGAACTGAAAGGAGATAAGATGTATTTTGTTTGCGCCTCTAAAAATACTCCACAGGGGTCTTGGAGCTATATTGACCTGCTGGAATTTCAAGCTATTCTGTCCTTGCCACGTTGAGGGTGGGAAGGTACGATGTGAATTGATACACTACTACTCTTTAAATGTTTGGAATTCTACCCTCAATGTATATGCGTGAGGCTGGGGAGAAGGAGGTGACCAAGAATGTCTTGCCCGTACAAATGGGGCCTTCGGTAGCTTAGCTTTTGAATTAAAGTAAAATATATTGATCAAATCTCTTCTGTGTTATTAATGAAACCGAAAATTTGTTTGGACTTTTTATAAATTTTATGTGTACTATTATGTTTATATCACTCGCCATATGTACACTGTCACAGAAATTCCTGTGCTTGCTGGATTCTTTTGCATTATGAGAGAATCGGTGATGAAGCTGTTCCCGCCTGTGACTCGTGAGAGTGTGCATAAATGATGTTAGAAGCATCTGGCTGACTTCTTGAAAGTCTGTTTTACATTTGGTTTAGTTCAGTTGTTTTAGGTCAGTTATTTCATAACCTGCTTATGTGTATGAAGACTTTTTTTTCTTGTTCTTTAATGAGATGAAAGGTTATTAGATGATGAATAATGAAAGTAAAAATTACCTTTTGTTAGCATATATCTGGCTAGATTAATACAGAACTTCTCAGAACCCTCATTTGAACTTCAAAGATATAAAACTATTTTAATCCAAAGATTCCCAGACTAGTGTCCTTTTTTGTTTGCTTATTTTGTAATGTTACTAGCTTTGGTAGATAAACTGAAGACAACTGGTTTTGAGTGTAGCTGCTTATTTAAGTAGTAATTTTTGGAAGGCTGTAGTAAGAAATTAATTTGAACTGGTATGAAATAGCATGTGCAGTTAGAGAAGATTTTTACTTGCGCAGGACTTCTGAAAGTCTTTGGAATTATCAAGAGAAACTCATCCAGGTAGAGGGATACTGTAGATCTTTTAAATGTAGAATTCAGCCATTTTACCACATCTGGCTTAAACTAACATCTGAAAAGGATTTTTGTATTTGTATCTTTGGTTGAGTAAATACAAACATCACGGCTGCTTGGGAAGCAAACTGACTTAGAATTTCCTCCTAAAGAAACAATGCTAATCTTTCTGTTGAAGGGAAGCAACAGCTTTGAGGGTTCAGTGACTGAGATCTAAAGGCCAAACTGCAAATTTGGATATGATCCTTTTTACTGATTATAAGGAACAATCAAAAATAGGCAACAATTCTCAGAACGCAAGAATCTCAAGAGTCTTGCAATGCCTTAGCTTTGCGGTGTTAATGAGAAATAATATAGTCTGTCCTGCCAGAGAATTGTCCACTGCTACTTAAGGATGGATACCACCTTCTCAATATTGACTTTAATCATACTTTAAATATGTCATACCTAGTAGTTGTTTTCAGACATCATACAAACTTATGCCTTTAGCAGTTCATTGTTTATTAAGATGATTAAAAGTGGGGAATTGTTTAGTCTTGAGCATACAGATTATGACTGGAAATCAAGTTAGTGCCTAAATGATAATGCCTTGAGCTCATTGTCTGTATTTATGTAATCAAGAAGGATTTTTTTTCTAATAAATCATGATTTAAAAATAGTATGCTTCTTTGGTGATTTATCTAAATTTTGAAAAATTGTAACAGGTAATTTTCTTAGATTTTTTTTTGGCAGTTGTGTCTTACAGCTATTTTTTTGTTGTGTGATAGACACAATTTGGCATGATTTTTAGCTAGATGGAAAGGACAGAAAATATGATTATGAGGGGGAGAAGATGTTAGTATGTATACAGCAGTCCAGTGTAAATTACATGAAGTTTTTGATTCATACAGCTTATGGAAAAGTCAAGTGATTCAACATCGGGTTGGATGTGTTTTTGTGAGCTACGG